GTCTCTCTATATCTCTCTATGTCTCTCTGTCTCTCTATGTCTCTCTATCTCTCTCTATGTCTCTCTGTGTCTCTCTATCTCTCTCTATGTCTCTCTATCTCTCTCTATGTCTCTCTATCTCTCTCTCTCTCTACCTCTCTCTATCTCTGTCTATCTCTATCTCTGTCTATCTCTCCCTATGTCTCTCTATGTCTCTGTCTCTCTATGTCTCTCTATCTCTCTCTATGTCTCTCTATCTTTCTCTACGTCTCTCTATCTCTCTATCTCTCTCTACGTCTCTCTATCTCTCTCTACGTCTCTCTATCTCTCTCTATGTCTCTCTCTCCCCCTCTCTCTCTATGTCTCTCTCATTCTCTCTCTCTCTCCCGCTCTCTTTCTCTCTCCCTCTCTCTGTCTCTCATTCTCTCTCTTTCCCTCTCTGTCTCTCTTCCTCTCTCTCTCTCTCCCTCTCTCTCTCTCGTGCGCCGCGATGGGATTGATTTGTGCGTCGCAACATGTGGCCCGCAACCTCAGGTCGGGGTCCTCACCCGCACACCCCACGAGCATGTATGCCCGACATTTGATTTCGGGCCCCCCCGCCACTACTCCTGAAGCCCAGGGCTCAGTTTGCTTTGCTGAGTTGTGTCTGACCCCGTGCTGTCCCTGCGCTGAGTCTTTGCAGAGCGACGCACATGGACCACCAACCCCCTCACCCTCTGTAGAATAGGCCATTCAGCCCATCCCGTTCCCCCCCATCCTCCCGATTCTCAAACGCCTCTCTGCGCTGACCCGTGCCAATGGCTCACCCTGCCGTGTTTGGAGACACCATTCGCGACTCCCTGAATCCTCCTGCCGCTGCCTTTAGAACTGGGGCCATTCTGGCCCCTTCCTAGCCCACTGTCAAAACCTATCCCTCCCCCCTCACCTCTCGTCATTGAACTACCACTCGTCAGCCCGAAAGACAACGAGAACCCACGAAACGGGGCTACTGCTCTCTGCACTGCACCCCAAAAACCTCCCTGGCTCCCTCCCCGCCTCACTTCCACCCACCCCTCACGTTTGAGCCCTCTCTGTTGAATGTGGAGTTGGCCATCGTCCCCCGATGCCACTACACCAGAAGCCGATATTGTTCGGCGGCTCCAACGAGGTTCCGAAACTCACCTTGACTCTCCCTCCTCGTCCCCAGGGTATTGGCCTGCATCTCTGTGACCGGATCCGAGGAGACGGAAGTTCCTTGATGGATGCCAGACGACTTTCGGACAGAGAGAGACCCGACCAAGGGGGAGGGGCGTAAATATTGGAACCGCTGTTGTAGGCTCGCCAGACGCGGTTACGCATTTCACGGGCGATGGGTTGTCAGGTCACTGTTAGGATCCAAACCCGGCACAAAAGTTCACACTGCCTTAAATGCACTGTCCTTCCCCCTCCCCCCATCCCTCCCACACCTCCC